TTTACACCACATTTGCTTATTCACCCATTTTGTCTTCAGAAATCATTTTGGGAAGATGAGCATCACAAAATGCCAGGCTATTAAACAAAAGGTTCTTGAATTGAGCAAGGACTTGAGTAGAGGCCCAAGGTCCATCTGCTACCTTGATACTTAACATATAAATGTATATATACATAGACCTATATCCCTATCATTAAATATTAATATATTTACATATATACGTGCCTAAATTTATACCCCTATAGATGTCGTTTGCCTCCTAGTTTCTTCCTCTATTTCTTGAAGAAATATTAATACTATTCCTAGATCTCACACAAGAGAACAAATTTGGAGGGCACCCAGTTAAGACCAGCATTTATTTTATTCTTCAGTACATCATTCTTGATTTTACCATATGTTTAGGTTTCAAAGATCAGGTCGTTAGGTTTTTAGGATGCGATGAGTGAGGTGAGGTGATGTTAGGTTAGGTTAAGCCTGGGGCTGCACCTCATTTCCACAGCTAGTCCAATCCAGCAGCTGAGAAACAGTCCCTGGCTAAGATCTACAACTTTTAGGGAAAACATCATAACTGTGGGATTTACTTTAGTAACAAACAGCTGTTGCATGTAAGAATGAGACAGGAAGATGTCAGCTCTGACCCAAATTGGAATTTCAGCAGTTAAGGCCATAGAACTAGATTCAAATGCCTAAGGAGCCCCCTGCCCCCGCCCCCCCCAAAAAAAAGGCTACCAAAAAATCCAGTAGGAAAAAGAGAAAAAAACAAAACACATGAGCTAGATTCTGTATAGTGACTTATAATAAATGGAGAAAATACTGAAGTTGTCAATAATTTCATTTCATTTAGATCCATAATCAATGCTCATGAAAGCAGCAGTCAAGGAATCAAACAATTACACGGGGCATAATCTGGAGCACAAGACCTTTGCAAAGCATTCAAGCACAAAGATGTCACTAGGAGGAGTTCAGTCCGCCTGCCCTTCACCAAAAGTATCTTCCATCACCTAATAGGCATGTGAAAACCGGCGAGGAATTGATGGTTTTGAATAATGGTGCTGCAAAGAATATCAAACGGATTGCCAGAATGATAAACAAATCTGTCTTCAAGGACATATACGCAGAATGCTCCTCACAAAATGTGGAGCTGATGGGCTGACACAGTTGCTGTAAAAAGGGGCTCAAGCATCACATAAGTGTGAGGATGGCCCAGGAGCAGGCAGCTCCATCCCGCTGTGCCTCAGCTGGCTGAGTCAGAGGGGACTCAGCATAGACGGTGAGGGGGGAATGAGAATGTAAATATTAAGAAAATAAGACTTGTAGGAATGAAGGCTGAGATAGTTTATTGTGCCAGCCTGGTTGATAAACACAAGTGGGATTAACTGAAAGGCAGAGAGATAAATGGCTTGGTGGGTCTCACCTTTCTTGTCTCTCACTCTTTGGTCATCGGACCAGTGTGCGGCTGCCTTGCTTCTCCTGTGCCTCAATTTAAAGGCTACACTACCTGTGGGACGCCTAGCCTGTGGACTGTGTCGCTGTAAGTTGAGGTCCCTTTAAGAGATCGGTGGAGCTGGGGACTGGCAGTTGGTGACCTGGCTGGCAGTTGGTGACCTGCCTTCTGATTGGCTGCTGTGCTGACATAGCCTAGCTCTCTCTATAAATAGAGGAAGATCTGGCAGCAGACTGGATTGGAAAGACTGCTAGTCTCTCACAACTCTCTGACGGCAGTGAGTTGAATTGAGCTATTTGTAGTGCTTTATAATTTAACTATTTCTTTCTTGTATTATATATTTATCTGTATATGATTTAACAGTTCATTTCTTGTTATATATTTAATTATCTTTATAAATAAATATATTGAATTATCAGCAATTTGGTTTTATCTCTCTAGAGAACCCTGTCTAACACAAAGGCAAAACCAAAAACAAGAAGGAAGGGTCAAAGGTGTTGGTTAGGGAATGAAATGCTTAGAACCAAGGTTCTGGTGAGGCTGAGTTCACAAGCACTGATGGTAGAGAGCAGTTACAGTTGCCTCTAAATGAGGAGAACAAGGACCTGAGAGAAGGGCCTGGCTGGATCATTCCTCTGGAGGATAACCTCACAGGAGTGCTCATGAGGAGGACGACTAGGACAAGGAGACTTCCCAGTGATGGAGAGCACAGGGACGCAGGCAGACAACGGTTAGCAATACACAGCACAGGTGATGGTGTGATCCTTAATGGGGTTGCACTTAAGTATTTATCTATTTCCTGCTTAAGAAAACGGGGAAAATGTTTTGGGAATGTTCGTAGGGAGCAACAAGGGAACTAAGTCTTTCTCCAAACTCGGTGGCAGTCAGGATAGGGAGATAAAAAAGAGGCTCTACTTGAGACAGTTTCAAAGAATGTAGTGTTGGGTTATATCCAGTCATATTATGTGCTGTGGTCAAAAAGGATGCTCTTTCAATTACATCTCAGTTATTTTTACTTTTCTTTGTTGAACAGACAGTTTCCCCCAAGTCTTGATATAGGGCAACATTAGGAATCAGCCACAAGGTACCAGGGGGAGGGAAATACAAGGCTCAGTTCTGAAAGGCTATCCTGGAGTTTCTGAAGTGTAACGTCCCACAAGATTCACCTTATAATACCAATATCTGCATCAATTCCAAACCAAAGAAATCTACTGGTGCCCCAGTAGATTTAAAGGTTTGAGTGGTTCTAACAGGTAGCTTAGTGATACGTTAAACTTGTGCCTTTATCATTTTTTACTTATAGTCAATTAATATAGACGGCCCTTCTATCCATGATTACTTTGGTGATGTATTATAATTCTCTACTGCAGGCCTGTGGCCTGTTCAGGAAGGTGGTCGGGACTAATGGACAAGATTAGGGTGGTATTAAGACCTGACTGCAGTAGAGGGTGTGAGCTGTTATACCCTTTGCTTCCTTGGAGGTAAGGTCTGCTAAAAGAAAACCATACCTGTGTCAAAGCCATTTCCCTGTTTCCTGACTGAGCGTTGGTAAAAGGAAGAAGAACTGCTGTGGTGCTCAAACATTTTTGGCTTCTGGCTCCGGACCCTGCCCATGGCTCCTCTCTGGCTGACTTAACCCCTCCCACAGCCAGAAGAGGCATTTCCTTCGAGTGTAGTGAGTGTCTGTGAGACACTGCAGCACACGGCAGAGCCCAGGGACATGAAAGGAGGGGAGGTATGGAAATAGAGAACATTTTGGGTGAGTTGGACAATTACTGCTACTCACTGCCATTGCATTGAATCAATTCCGACTCAAGGTGACCCCATAGGGCAAGGTAAACTGCTCTTGTGGGTTTCTAAGACCAGCTGTCTATAGAACCAGAGTGCCTCTTCGTTTTCCTTGGGATTGGTCTAATGTTAGTTTTTCTAAACAAAATTATTACCACAGTTTTTCTTAAAATAAACAAAAACAAAAAACTCTTAATTGGAATAGAAATCCCCAACTTTCTCCTGTGGAGAGATACAGGTGGTTTAGAACAGCTAACTTGAGACTCGCAGCCCAACACATAACCACTACACAACGAGGGCTCCTAATTTTCCTAAAAGCAAATATTAATACTTTCTAGATTACCTTATTCCAAGCATCATGTTACACACTGGCCAAAGACCACCTAAATCTTCCAGAATAAACCTCCAATATTGAAAACAGACATATATTTATGACTACATCAAATAAGGCTTTTATACTGTTTCAGAGAACCATTTCTCTTACAATTTCGTCACTTTGCAAGTAGCAAGGATCACAGTGGAATCTTGAAAAACTATTATTTAATAAGTGTACCACTTCAAGGAGGCAAAAATAATGCCATTCATGATGAAAGGCAGTATGATCAACATTTGATGGTGGGCAAAACGTCTGTCAAATTAAGAGCCTTGGGAAATGTAGTCCTACGTACGGTATTAGATAGAAGTGTATCTATAAACCTTACCAACATTGGATCCAAACAAGTTTCTGAGAACCAGCTTAATTTTTACATCTCCAGAGCACCGTGTTTACTAATCAAAACATATTTGAAAACACAAGATTGAAAAATAAAAGCTGATTGAAAATATTAGGGCTCAGCTGATGTTAAGTGAAGTCAACAGAATTGTTTTAAAATAAAACTATAAAACAATTCTTATGAAAATTTAGCATAAGAGTATTTAGATGAATCATTTCAACATTTTCCATTGAAGCAAAAAGTTTAGCTTTGGATCCCCACTAATAAGCTGTTTTTGTTTGTTCACGCCACTGAATTCCTACTAATCCATATCAATGACAGTTTCTATGGCAGTGTTTTCCTTCTACTGTCAATAAGACAGATCCTTTGACATTTCTCCAGCTATCATCTTACATCATCTTTCCTGCCTTCTTGAAGGAAAGAGATCATCATGTTTCAGCCTAAGCTTTTATATAGGCTTTGATCACTTTAAATTAAAATCCCAGAATTATAGTGGAACTCCCACCTTTCTGACAGTGCTTCCTGCATCATCAGGTAAACTGCAAGAGCACCAGCCTTGCTCTTTTAGCATTTCTGCAAAGTAAAGCTGTGCCACCCAAAAGATAATAATGTATTGCTTTTTAAAAAAAACAAAAACTTTTATTGGGGGCTCTTACATCTCTTATCACAATCCATTCCTCCAGTGTGTCAAGCACATTTGAACATATGCCACCATCATCATTTTCAAAGCATTCTCTTCCTACTTGAGCCCCTGATATCAGCTCCCCATTTCTTCCAGCTCCCTCCCCAGCCCTCCTTCCCTCACGAACCCTTGGTAAGTTATAGATTATTTTTTCCATATCTTACTTTGTCCTCTGTCTCCCCTCACCCACTTTCCCAGTATTTGTCCCCCTGGGAGAGGGTTCTAGGTTGATGCTTGTGAACGGTTACCCCGTTCTCCCCTCACCCTCCCGTAATCCTCCTGGTACAACTACTCTCCTTGTTGGCCCTGCGGGGTCTATCTACCCTGGATTCCCTGTGTTGCGGGCTCTTAACTGTAGTAATGTGCATGTTCTGATCTAATCCAATTTGTAAGGTAGAACTGAGGTCATGACAATGGGGTGAAGGAAGCACCAAAGAACTAGAGGAAAGTTGTGTGTTTCATTGGTGCTATACTGCACCCTGACTGGCTCATCTCTTCCCTGTGACCTCTCTATGAGGGGATGTCCAATTGTCTACAGATGGGCATCGGGTCTCCACTCCATGGCCCTCCCACCCCCACCCCTTTCACCTTGGGTATGGTTTTATTCTGGGTCTTAGATGCCTGATACCTGATCCCACTGACACCTCATGATCACATAGGCTGGTGTGCTTCTTCCATGTGGGCTCTGTTGTGTCTTAGTTAGATGGATGCTTATTTATCTTCAAGCCTTTAAGACCGTAGATGCTATATCTTTTGATAGCCAGGCACCATCAGCTTTCTTCACCACATTTGCTTATGCACCTATTTTGTCTCATATAGCTATGAGAACATATAGATATGTACTCACATAGATATAAGTACATAATTCTATTCCCCTCTCATTATATAAATATATTTACATATATACAATAATATATTTTATAAATTGTATATTCAAGATCTGTAACACACCCAGGGACTGAATCAACAAAGAACTATTACTAGATGTTGCAAAAGAGAAATCAGAGTGTGAAAGGGCAAAAACCATCAAGATCACCTGGGTACTCAATCAAGATTATGAAAAAAATGTAAGAGTTCTCATTCAATAATCACACAATGTCTCTGTTCCAAACCCTCTATGAAGTGCTCAGGTTGTAAAACAAACTAGATAGAGTGCAAGCACACAGAACAACTCACTCTCCTCCTGTAAGGACATAGAGGTATGACTCCTGAGCTGGAATTTTCTGCAGGACTAAGAATAATACTTATTTACTATACATGCGCTGGGGGGAAAAAATCCAATGATCTTGTTATTCTTAGAGTAACCATCAGTCATGTACTGAATTAAACAAACAAGACCTGTTTAACCATCTTGATTTCCCCTCCTGATGATATACTAATGTTCAATCCTAAGCAAGGGAGGCAGAAATAAGAGGGGTTTCAAGTTTGTGGGAAATTGTCATTATCTTTGAATTTCATCTTTTCATGAACGTCTTGAAGCCCTCACATATAGTGGCATTAGGGATAAAAGGCATAGAAAAAATGAACAATTCTCAGCAGAGTAATTGATGAGGTGCTACAAGAGAGACAAACTGTCTAACATATACTTCTTGGTCACTTAACTAAACTTCAGGATGTTCCTGTAAAGCACATGGCAGCTGAAGGCACTAAAGTATAAAAAACAACGAGCTAACTTCACCCACAAAATGAGGAAGTCTGCCAGGGAGAAGGAAAACAGTGGACTGATTACAGTCAGCGGGGCGCCTGTAATCCCCCCAGACAGCAGGGCTCATGCCTGTCCTAGTACTGTCCAAGGGCATGTAGTATGAAAAAAATACCAAGCCACCGAGTTTGAAGCCTCCGCGCCGACTTAATCTGGTGAAACCCGGCTTCCTACTTGGTAGGATAACAATCAACTAATAAGTAAGCAAGAAGTTTTAGCATTTCTCCCTTTGATAGCTGAGTGCTAATCAAAAGAGCTATCAAGTGTACATTAAACAAATATCATTGCCGAAGTCAACCAGAAAAAGTGATGGTCCAGAATGCAGACTCCTGGCGCTCGGACACGAACTTCCCCAAAACGTTTCCGCGAAGCAAACCAACGTACCTTCGAAGATGGAGAAAGGCCGTGTAGCACTGTTTACGGAACTCCTGGTACTGCTCACTCTGCGTGCCCCCCATGCCCTCCACCATTTCTTTATTCAGCTTCATTGGAGGCGGAAGAGGCTTCGGATCCCGACCCAAAATATATCCAAAGTCTATGTGGAAGAGCTTGCCTGGGTGGGGACAAGAAACCTTAAATGACTTTGATTCTGAAATTAACATAGAGAACAAACTGGGCAGGGGTGGTATGTGATACAATTATCATACAGACCAGCAGCGGCTCCTTATAGAACATTATTAGCTCATGATAAAGCCTATTAAAATGTTCGTTCGCTTCTCTAACCTCAGGGGTAAGAGTAACCATCAGAGTCTATCCTAGTTTATTTCAATTTACATTAATTCAAATGAAGCTATACTTAAGAGTCATTATTTACCTGTTGTTCAGACTAATTTTTCCTTTAACTTATCACTATTAAAACAAATCTCCTAAATTTCAAATTGTATTATCTGAACCATTTTCAATTGATCTGATACACTTGTTAGCTGCAAACTAAGACACCAACTACAGTATTTACATCTGTCAAGGGATAAACAGAATGGCAGCACCCATCATACGAAACCCTACATTTAAATTCATAGACTGCAAAAATGTGATAATTCATCTTATAGAATTATTCACCACATGATGAATAAAGCATCTTGTGACTCACAAGAGGTATACGAAGTAGGAATATGTTAGCATATCTGTTACTGAACTGTCTCCCCCCAATATTTGTAAATCTTAACCCCTTATACCTGTGATTATAATACTCGCTTTCTTTGATATAGTCGTGTGGCAGTATTAGTGTAGGGCCTGTGTTAAATCAATCAACTCTGAGACATAAAGGATTCTATAAAAAGAGGCACAGATGTGGGAGACAGATGCCAGGAAGATGCACAGAAGCAAAGTTCAAAAGAGACGGGAAGACCTTTCCCTCCCGAGCTGACGGAGAGAAGAAAGGCTTCCCTATAGCAGGGGCCCTGAATTAGGACTTCCAGCCTGTTAGAAAAACTTGTTTTTCTAACCCTTGTGGTATTTCTGTTACAGCAGAACTAAGTAAGACAACATCTCAGGGACCTCCCATCTAAGCTCCACCAAGGTAGGAGGGGTTTATCACTGTACTGTGCACTGCGGATCACCAGTCTTATACATAGAAGGTAATCATTATTGACGACACAAACATATCTTAAAGGTCACCCAAAATAACTCCCAATTCAGCCTGCTGAGTTTTGTTTGCCTTCTAGTACATGATCAATTGTTTCAGTTGGAAATGAATGCTCGTGGAAAGAGGAGTCTTTCCCTCAAGGTACAGCACAGCCAAACCATTCCTTCTGAAAGTGAATTAAGAGCCTCTACAGATATACAACCTTTCAAAGCATTTTTACTTACTGAATGTACCCATTACAGATGTTGGCCATAGCTCTACTTCTTGCATTATGATGACTGATACCTATAAATTTTACACTCCCATGATTAGGTCACTGTTGCAAATACAAAACAAAGAGGGTCACAGAACTGACTGTGGGATAAGGCCCAGATTAACAGTGATGCACTGGTAAGCACAACGAATCAGCTGTCTGATGGAACAAAACTTCGTATCTGACTTAAGTTTGTGACACTGACAAGGTCAGTTACTTTCGGAACTATCGAACTAGTATGATTGACAGCTCATATATCAACAAAGGCTGTTATCTAAGACTTAATAGTATCTAGTACTCAGTTAATGGGAGCCAGGGTGACAGAGTGGGTTAGGCATTTAGCTGCTAACCACAAGGTCAGCAGTTTGAAAGGACCAGCTGCTACCCAGAACAAAGCTGAGGATAGAGTAGAGCTACCCCTAAGGGCTCACAAAACTGTAAACAGTTATGGAAATAAAAAACCTCAACATTCTTGGCGGAGCTTGTGGTTTGAACTGCTGGCCTTGTAGTTAGCAGCCCAATCTGTAAACCGGGACACTACCAAGGATCTCTGGAGGGTAGTAACAGCTTAGTTAAATGGCTCCTATCGTGTCCACTTGAGTTACTCAAATCAGGAACCATTTGGTAATTAGTTATGGTTCATCTCACCAATATTTATCAAAATGCCTTATCTCACCGTCAACGATTTCAACTCACATCCACCTGGTAGCAGGGGAGAACATTCCCCTGTGAGTTTCCAAAACAGTAACTGAAAATCCCTCAGGTATCAGGCATCATCACAACAAAAAATCATATCACTGTGAATGAGGGGGAGTGCAGTGTGGAGGCCCAAAGCCCATTTGTAGGCCACTGGATATCCCTTACAGAAAGGTTTCGGGGAGGAAACAAGCCAGTCAGGGTGCGATGTACCAACAATGAAACATACAACTTTCCTCTAGTTCCTAAATGCTTCCCCCCACCCTGCACCACTATCATGATTCCAATTCTACCTTATAAATATGGTTGGCCAGAGGATGTACACTGGTACAAATAGGAACTGGAAATACAGGGAATCCAGGGCGGATGATCCCGTCAGGGCCAGTGGTGTGAGTGGCAATACCAGGAGGGTGCAGGGAGGGTGGATTGGAAAGGGGGAACCGATTACAAGGATCTACATA